CATGGGGTGCAGGGCCCAAGGACTTGGGCCATCCTCCACTGCACTCCCGGGCCATAGCAGAGAGCTGGCCTGGAAGAGGGGCAACCGGGACAGAATCCGGCGCCCTGACCGGGACTAGAACCCGGTGTACCAGCGCTGCAAGGTGGAGGATTAGCCTAGTGAGCCGTGGCGCTGGCCGGATTTTTTTTTTTTTTTTTGGATCCTCCACATTCAGGAGAAAAGCCATTTGTCTTGTGTGGGTGGACTGGTGGACAACTCTGAACTGAGGGTTGGAGCATGGTTTTGGGACAATGTCTGGTGGAAGGAAGTCTGAAATAAATGTTGACTGACTGGCTATTTACAACTCCTGTTGATCTGGGTTGTGTCCCTGAATTCTGTTCTGATAGCTTTTCCTGCTTCTGCTCTGGAAAACAAAGCAACAGGGCTCCCTTTAAACGTCCTGCCATTGAGCTAAGAGACACAGTCTTCTTTCGGGTGACGTACTCAATTTGTACTGTGACTAGGAGTCAGTGACGTGATTTCTTCTTTTCTCAGATAGCCTCTCGCCAGTCAGCCTACATCTGTCAGCTTGTGCCCTGGGCCACACCTTTGTCCTTGCGCTCAACAAACTGTTACGCTCTTTGCCTTGCTGCAGGCAGAGATTCAGTAACCCTGGTGGTCTTGAGGCCTGCTTGTTGCCTCCTTGTGGCTTCCCGATTCTCTGTCCCTTGTTGGCTGGGTGGGACCTGTGACTGTTTCTGACCAATGGTCCAGGGACATGGGCGAGGGGTGGATGTGATCTGCATCACTTTCATCTCAGGGCATTTAATTGTTGGTGCAAGAGTCTCTAGAACATTCTCTCCTTTCTGAAGCAGTGACTGTCCATGTTCTGGAAGACACTAGCCTCTTGCTCAGCCTGGATCCCTAGTAGCTTTGATGAGCGGAGAGCTTTCCTGGTATCCTGTGATCAACATGTACTATGAATCAGAAAGAAACAGAAGCATTTACTGTTTTAAAATACTAAAATCCTGGTCTTTTTTTTTTTTTTCTAATCTAGACTATCCATAGTAACTGCTGAATAGATACACTTGTTCTTAGTTTCCATGCTCACTGATATCATCATTGTAAATCTTAACTGATTTTTTCAGAACTTTTTTGTTTAGTTACATTGCTAAATTTAAGGGCTTTATTTTGAGCCCCCATATTTTCTTTCTTTATGCTTTGTGTTTAGGATTTATTTATTTATTTGAAAGACAGAATGAGACAGAGAGAGAGAGAGCGAGCGAGCGAGCTTCCATTTGCTGTTTCAGTTCCCAAATGGCCACCGTAGTCAGGTCTGGTTCAGGCTGAAGCCAGGAGCCAAGAACTCTGTGCTGGTCTTCCACATGTGTGACAGGGTTTCAGGTACTTGGACCATCATACACTGCTTTCCCAGGACACATTAGCAGGAAGCTGGATTGGAAGCTGAGCACAGGAACACAAGCCAGTGTTCCAAAAATGGGATGGCCACTTTGCAAACGGTGACACAATGCAGGACCTTCTTTCCTCTCCCCACCCCCCTTTTTGTTAAAAGCTGTATTTTTACAAAAAGATTTATTTTATTTATTTGGATGACAGAGTTAGAGGGGGGGGGTCTTCCATCCTCTGGTTCATCCCTCAGATAGCTGCAATGGCTAGAGATGAGCTGATCCGAAGCCAGGAGCCAGGAGCTTCCTCTGGGTCTCCCACATGGGTGCAGGGGGCCAAGGACTTGGGCCATCTTCCATTGCTTTCCAAGGCACATCAGCAGGGAGCTGCACTGGAAATGGAGCAGCTGGAACTTGAACTGGCATGCATATGGGATGTCAGCGCTGCAGGCTGGGGTTTTAACCTGCTGCACCACAGTGCTGCCCTTCGTCCCTTACCCCCCCCCCACCCTTTTTGACAGGCAGAGTGGGTAGTGAGAGAGAGAGACAGAGAGAAAGGTCTTCCTTTGCTGTTGGTTCACCCTCCAATGGCCGCCGTGGTCGGCGCACTGCGGCCGGCGCATCGTGCTGATCCGAAGCCAGGAGCCAGGTAGTTCTCCTGGTTGTCCATGCGGATACAGGGCCCAAGGACCTGGGCCATCCTCCACTGCACTCCTGGGCCATAGCAGAGAGCTGGACAGGAAGAGGAGCAACTGGGACAGAACCTGGTGTGCTGGCGCCGCAAGGTGGAGGATTAGCCTATTGAGCCGTGGTGCTGGCCTACCCCTTACCCTTTTAAAAGCAAATTCATCTGCTTTTATGAATTCTCCTACCATCTATATTCATAGCAAAACAAAGTGATGTAGGCGAAAACATATTGGATTTGTGGACCTGGTGAGTAGAGGTTTAAAGTAGTCTCAGTTCTCTCGTTAGTACAACTGGAGTGAGCATGGCTGTCATGCTCTTTTCACCAGATCACCAGTGAGAATCAGATGAAATAAATGAAGAGGAAGCTTTTGTAAAAGATAAAGCATTATTTATGGAGGAGATGCATCTGAGAGGAATTCAGAACCTCCATTCCAAGCAGAACTGTCCCAGGCTTCGCGAGTTCAGGACCCACCTCGCGTGGCTGTGGCTGTGTCCTCACCAAGATGACATTCCTGTAAATCCGCACTCATGCCCTTTGTTGTGGCTACATTTGCATCACCAGCACTTTGTCCTGAAGTCTTATCCCACCCTCACTCTGCATGGCCTGCCACTTCTTTATTTCTCGATCCCTTCTTCCTGATGATTCACCTTCAAGTGGCTTCTTTTTTTTTTTTTTTTTGACAGGCAGAGTGGACAGTGAGAGAGAGAGACAGAGAGAAAGGTCTTCCTTTGCCGTTGGTTCTCCCTCCAATGGCCGCCATGGCCGGCGCACCACGCTGATCTGATGGCAGGAGCCAGGTGCTTCTCCTGGTCTCCCATGGGTGCAGGGCCCAAGCACTTGGGGCATCCTCCACTGCACTCCCTGGCCACAGCAGAGAGCTGGCCTGGAAGAGGGGCAACCAGGACAGAATCTGGTGCCCCGACCGGGACTAGAACCTGGTGTGCTGGCGCCGCTAGGTGGAGGATTAGCCTAGTGAGCCGCAGCACCAGCTTCAAGTGGCTTCTCGGATCTTCTGTGCATCAGCCTGGTCACCATCTCCAGGTTGTGCCCTAAAGATCCTATGCTGTAATCAAGACAGCAGGATTCAGATGTGCATCTCCTCCTTTTCAGGTTCCTATTCCTTTGACCCAACCCTCTCTTGGCAGTGAAAACAAATTTCCCTAAGCCTCACTTATCTTGTGTTACTCCACTCTTCAGATTAAACACTGGCTCCCAGCTGCCTCCTTAAAACAAGAGGCACATGCGTATACATTACAATTTTTGTAGTTATTACAACAGCAATTCATGCTTAATGTGCCAAAATACAAAAGAAAAAAAGCAAATGGAAAAATAGAACATCTACTATTGAATCACTTTGAGATAATCACTGTAAAATTTCCATATTTTTCTGTGCCTTTATATTTTATCAACATGCTATCAATTAGTGCATACTGTTTCATACCCAGCTTTCCCCCTCTTCATCATATATTCTGAATTTTTTTTTCAAAGTATAAATATATTGATTCAATGAATCAGTGGTTTCATTACAGCCATGGAACAGATTAACAATAACTGACTTGTTTAATTCCCTGTTGTGCAGCAGTACTTGCTTTCTATTATAAATGACATTACACAGTAGATTCCTGTGCATGCAGCCTGTACACATTAATATTTTCTTTAGTTTTTTTAAAGGCCCTAAATTTTAAAATTCTCTGCTAATGGCTGTGAACAACCACAAAGATACCACCTCAGTATTGATTACAGTTAAAAAAGCTACAAATAAATTTTACACGCATTTTAAAATATGGAATCTGTGAATAATGGGGATGAACTGTGTGTGCATGCTGAATCCAGTTAAGAGCACTTACAAATAAGTGAAAGTTGGGGCAGGCATTCAGCCTAGTTGTTGAGATTCCCACATCTCACATCAGAATGCCTGAGTTCCACTCCAGACTTCGGCTCCCACATCCAGCTTCTTAATAATGCACACCTTGGAAGGCAGCAGGTGATGGCTTCAATGGTTGGGTCCTTGTCGCCCATCTGAATTGAGTTCTGAGCTCTTGTCTCTGGCCCTGGACTTTGTAATCATTTGAGGAATGAAAGAGCAGATAGAAGCTTTTCCCTCTCCCTCTCCCAATCCCTCTCCCTCTCCCTCTCCCTCTCCCTCTCCCAATCCCCTCCCACCATGTGTGTGTGTGTGTATGTGTCTGTATCTGTCTGTCTTCCTCTCAGTTAAAGAAGTAAAGACAGAGATAAGGAGAAATCCAAGTATTGAGTTTGAGGCAAATCAACACACACCCACCTACTGGGAGGGGAAGAGAGGAAGAAAAAAAGGGTGGAAGGAGGATGGGGAGGCAGAGGTAAAAGAATGCTGCACCGTCATCTGTGACAAGCCACCAGGAGGTTCATGGAAAAACTGGAAAAATGTCTTAGAAGCTAAATAAAGAGAATTCCAGGAAATTATCACAGTGAAGAAATGAAAATTAGAAAATTTATATTTTCTAATTGTATGTGGGTGGGAATTCTCTAGAAACTGGGTTTCTTGGCTGAAGAGTGCCCACATTTTAAGACCTCTGAGATGTATTGCTAATTGCCTTTCAAAAAGTGTGTACCAACTTATTTTCCAAGCAGTGTACAATAGTTTTAATTTCCAAACACTTTCAATAAGTTAGTCTTTTCCAAATTTATGGGAAACATACGACTATGATTTGGATGTGGTTTGAGTGTGTCCCCAAGCATTTAACGTTGGAAACTTGGTCCACAGTGTGGTAATGTTAGAGGTAGTAGAACCATTAAGAAGAGAGGCCTAGTGGACGATGGTTGTCATTTGGGGACATAGCCACTGGAAGGGATTAGTTTTCATGGAACCATGATTAGCTCACTCAAGAGTGGGGTGTTATAAGAAAACCAGCCTGAGCCCTGAATTTCTTTCTGTCTTTCCTCTCTAGGCTCCCTCTGGGTACCACCTGCCATGTTGGTGGTATGGGGGTTCACCAGAGGCTGAACCAATAAGACTGCCTAATCTTGGACTTTCAGCCTCCCAAACTGCCAGCTAAGTAAACCTCTCTTATTTGTAAGTTATCCAGCCTCAGATATTTTGTTATAGCAACAGAAAATTCTCGAATGTACAGACTTTCTCTTGAACTTTTGAATGATTTTGATGACTAATAATGTTGGAGATTTGTTCATATATTTATTGTTTTTTGTTTTTATTATTGTTTTTTCACTTTCTTGTTTTTGACACTGATTCCATTTAGTTTCCTCATTTTTTGTAATATAGGGCTATTCTTTTTCTCACTACATTATAAAATATTTAATAGAGTAAAGATTTAAATTTCCTCCCTACAACATACATTTTTTTGTTTTCTAGTTTGTCATTTGCTTTTTTTCTTCTTCAGTACAAAAGTTTATTTATAGAGAGTTCAATGTATCAGTGTTTCTTTTTATATTGTCTGATTTTTTTGTTATAGGAAAAACTTTCATATATATATATGATATTTTCATGGTATTTTTAAAAACATTAACTCTTGATTCCAACTGCAGTTACTTTGGTCTGTGATGTAAGGTGAATCTGTAACTTAATCTACCCTCACTTCGTTAATCCATTAATTCAACAAAATTTCCCATGGAATATAAATGGTATCTTTGTAATTTAAAAATCTTTAGATAGCTATATTCTGAGTTTTCTATTCTACTTCTTTGATCTATCTTTCTATTCTGACACTTTTACAGCAATATTTTATTTATTGTAGGTACATAATACATCTTAAAATCCAGTAAAGCAAGTTTTTCCACATTATTCTTCTTTTTCAGTATTCTTTTGACAGTTCTCATGCACTTATTTTTCTAGCTGGACTTAAGAATTATTTTCTCAGGTTCCAAGAATACCATTGTAATTTTGGCTGAAAAAAAATAGCAAGTCTGTAAATTAATGTGAAGGCTTACCGTCTTTGCAGAGTCTGACTTCCCACCCAGGAGCATGGCCTTTGTCTCCCTCTACTCAATTCTTCACTTATGCCTCACTGTACAATTTAATGAATACTTTGTTAAATTTATTGTTAGATAATTTAACTTGTCAGTTCCTTGGTTTAACTGAGATATTTTTTAATTCCTATTTTTCCAACTGATCATTGCTGATTCCATTAACTAAGATAAATTCTTTTGGACTTTCCTGGGAGAAAATCTTAGCATCTGAAAATCATTATAGTCTGATTTCTTCCTGTAAACTATGTCTACATCTTATTTATTTTTCCTGTCTTATTGCACTGATTAAACTCCTAAAGCAAGGTTAAAAAATGGGAGTGAAGGTTGACAATTCTTTCCTCTTCCTAGTGTTTCCCAAGTAAGGATATAATTGGCTGTTGCTTTCAGATGATTCTTCTGTCTCATGTGAAAGAAGCAGATTTAAATTCTTAGTTTCTTTTTTAAAATATTGAATGACTATTGGATTTTATCAAATGTCTTTTTGGCATCTTTTGCAATGATCATATGGTTTTTCTCCTCTTTGACCTGTTGATATGATGAATTATGTTAATAGATTTCCTCGTATTAAATGATCCTACATTCTTGGAATAAAGTCCACTTAGTTATCCTGCATTATTCTTCAAACACACGGCTGGATTTAATTTGATAATATTTTATTTAGGATTTTTGCTTCTATGTTTTTGAGATTGGCCTATAGAGAGTTTTTTTTTTTTTTGAGAGAGTCTGTGTTAGGGTTTGATTTCAGGGTTTTTCTGGCTTTCCAAAATAAAATGGGATGCTCTTCATCTTGAATCAATTAAGGGATATTCTAATATGGCTATGAAGGCTCACCATGTTGTGTGATGGAAAGAATGTAGGACTGGTAGGGAATTAGAATACCAGGGTTCAATTCTTGTCTTTCTCCATTAGTTTTATAAAGTTGTGCAAATTGTTTAATTCCCTAAAATTCCATATTTTTATCTTTAAAATGAAGATTATACTTAATTTATACCCCAACTACCTGAAAAAGTATAACAGCCCAATGAGTTAATGAGGATGAAAACACTTTGCAAGGAGGGAGACACCACTTATCAAGTCCTTGTTCCATACAAGATGCTGTGTGTGACATTTTATACATGAGAATCCTCACTGTAATCCACACTTGCTCCAATTGCCATGAGGACTCCTTAGCGTCCTATAGCTCAGTGGTCTCTGGACCAGCATCACAGCACCCCCTGGGGGCATGTTACAAGTGTAGAATCTCCAGCCTCACCTACTGAATCAGAGCCAGCATTTTTGCAAGTCCTGCAGGGCAATTCACATTCATGGTCAAGTTTCAGAAACACCTGTGGCCCCTACATGATAGTGCTGCAGATTCTTCAGTGTCAGAATAGAAATACAACTGTAGCATTAGGAATGATTCCAATGATAACTTTCTTGTTTTATAAATCTCATATTCTGGGTGAAATAGCTGCACCATTGAGACTGTAAATGTTAGCCATGTAGAGCAAATCTCTTGGATATGCACATTTTTACTCCAAAGGTGACTGTTTTTGGAGACCGAGCAAAACTGACCCATCCGTTGTGAGTTACTTTCCTATCAAGTCCAAAATGTGAAAGAGGTTTTAGTGCCTGCAGATGTACTCTTCTCTGGGGAGCCTCAATCATACTGCATTTCCCATCAGTCAATCTGAAGGCATTTTTCAGCTGATCCTATGAACAATCACAGATCTTTCAATGGGGCAAGGATTACTATATCATTTTCATCACAAAGATTACCCTAGTCACTCCTCAAACATGTTTTGGCTTCTACCAAGAGCAAAGAGTAGCATGCACTAAGCTTTTGTGCACATATTAATATACATACATGCCTGTATACACATGCCTAGAGAATATTTGAAACCGTGGCAGAAACAGAAACCATGGCTACCAAGAGATAAACAAGGATTCCCTCTGTGGGAGTCTGCAGGGATGTGTAATGCAATTGAGGTGACTGTTTGCAGGCTGTGGCTGGCAGTCACCATGGAGACTGGCAGTTGGATGAGGGAAATCCTCCACAGTGACGTTGCCAACAGCTGTTTCATTCCTCTGGGTCTTGCACGCAAGCAATTCTTTCACATCCTACATTGGAGAGAGATGCAGGTGTGTCTTTTGCTAAGCTAGGGAAGCAGGAGGAGAAAGTCCAATGTAAAGATTTCTAATCATGACATTCTTTCATGATGAAGAAACTATTTCTCTTACAAGGTTTTAAATGGACATTTAAAAAAGAACATGTATCCTATCAAGTATACCGTTGTTTAACTGAAAGTATAGAATGTTTTATGAATGTGAAGGATTTCACTATATATGTCTTACAAATGTGTATTAGAACTTTCTTCCCAGGTCAGATGCTTTATCTGTGGAGCTTTACCCTGCTCCCTAGATAGGTGGGGCAGAAATAATTGCTTCTGTGACTGCAGGCACCCAGTTATTTATGAGTCCGTCACAACTTCTCATTTACACTGTAAGTTTAGGTATAGCTATCTTCTGTGCTTAGTTTATCTTCAATTTTTCCCTTCCTGGGATTGGGTCCATGGCCTAACCAGGCTGTTTTGATCACTGTATCTAGAAAAGTTCCAATGCAAAGCTTATTTACAATTATAAGTTCTGTATACTTGTGTATTGTGTAGCCAATTGCCATAAACCTAGTGTTTTTTTTTTTTGTTTGTTTGTTTTTACAGACAGAGTGGACAGTGAGAGAGAGACAGAGAGAAAGGTCTTCCTTTCCATTGGTTCACCCTCCAATGGCCGCTGCGGCCAGCGCACCACGCTGATCCGAAGGCAGGAGCCAGGTGTTTATCCTGGTATCCGTGGAGTGCAGGGCCCAAGGACTTGGGCCATCTTCCACTGCACTCCCCGGCCATAGCAGAGAGCTGGCCTGGAAGAGGGGCAACCTGGACAGAATCATCTGACGCCCCGACCGGGACTAGAACCTGGTATGCTGGCGCTGCTAGGCGGAGGATTAGCCTATTGAGCTGCGGCGCCGGCATAACCTAGTGTTTAAAATACACATAGATATTATATTACAATTCATATGGTCAGCTATTTGGTTTTGGTCTAGCTGATTTCTCTGCTCAGGGTCTCATAAAGCTGCAATCAAGGTGTCAGCTGCACTGCATTCTTTTTAAAAACAATTAATTTTTATTTATTTATTTGAAAGAAAGAGAAATATATCTAATCTGCTAGTTCTTTTCCCCCAGTGCTTCGAACAACCAGGGCTGGGTAAGGTCAAAGCCAAGAGCCTGAAATTCAATCCAGGTCTCCCACATGGGTGACAGGGTCCCATGTACTTGAGCCATCATCTGCTACCTTCTAGGGTGTGCATTAATAGGAAGCTAAAAACAGAAGTAAAGCTGAGACTTGAATCCAGGCCCTCTGATATGGAATGCCAGTGTCCCAAGTCACGTCTTAGCCACTGAGCCAAATGCCTTTCCCTGCATTCTTTTTTTAAAATTATTTTTATTTTTATTTATTTATTTATTTATTTTTGACAGGCAGAGTAGACAGTGAGAGAGAGAGACAGAGAGAAATGTCTTCCTTTGCCGTTGGTTCTCCCTCCAATGGCCGCCGCAGCCGGCGCGCTGTGGCCAGCACACCACGCTGATCCAATGGCAGGAGCCAGGTACTTATCCTGGTCTCCCATGGGGTGCAGGGCCCAAGCACTTGAGCCATCCTCCACTGCACTCCCGGGCCACAGCAGAGAGCTGGACTGGAAGAGGGGCAACCGGGACAGAATCTGGTGCCCCGACCGGGACTAGAACCCTGTGTGCCGGTGCTGCAAGGTGGAGGATTAGCCTAGTGAGCCACGGCGCCGGCCTTTCACTGCATTCTTATCTGGAGGCCCACTGGGGGAAGAATTTGCTTCCAAGCTCACTGAATTGTTGTCAGAATTCATTTCCTCATGGCCTACAGGAGCCAAGGAAGCCTATGTAAATTCTTTAGACTGCCCATGGTTCCTCCACCACATGGCCCTCTCCTTAGGAATTCATAACACAGCAGCTTCCTTGTTCAAGGCCAGTGGGAGGCAAGGGCAACTCAAGAGGCAGGAACTTATATAGGGTATGGTAATCA